CTAGTAGCGATGCACTTGTTCCTAGTAGCTTCTTGTTACTACTAGTAGCTTCTTGTTCCTTTTGTTGCACTGTATCCCCATCCAAAAGCGTTCCTGGCGGCAGGACATCGCCATCTCACTCCGTCGGTGGACCAACCGATGGTGCGATGGTGCGATGGGCTTGGGCCTCTGGTCTGTAACTGCGGTACCACTCCTTGGCGAACAAGGGCGGATGGGTTCCATCGGTGTTCTTGGACGCAAAATTCAGGGGTGGACACAGGTCGACACATGTCGACACCATGGACGGTTGCTAGGAAGGATGAAGTCCTGCTGGAAAACACCGACTCGTTGCTCTCTATGGCATCTATGGTATGCTGGCTTTCTTCTCTTTCAGCTTTGCGGGTTGGCAGGTCTCGCAGGTCTGCAAGTCGGTGCCTTTCGTACATCAAGAACGTATAATTATGCCTTGCAGGTCGTTCAGAGGCTTACAATGTCTCTGCCATGAGACCTTATGAACAAGGAACAGTTGAGTGATCCTGAAATGTCGGAAAGCAACATGGGCACAAAAGGGCTTGACAAGATTTGACCCAATAGCACTACAACGTTGGTGGCTACGATGATCAGCCCCACGGATTGAAGCATCTGTCTGTTCCCATCCCGTGTTTTGGATACTCTGTATCATCCTCGTCCCTCCCTGGATTGGCAAAATGAAACCCCTAAGAGAACTACTTCCAGTCTGGTGCGCATGGCGCAAGGCGCTGTCCCATGTTCCAGCCTGGCCAGCCAAGTGGCTAGGTATTCCTTGGGCGTCTCAAAGAAGGGCCCTGGCTGGAAGGCATACTTCAAGGAGGGATGCAGCAAACCTACCTGGCAGCGGAACGATAGGTCCACCATAAATCTTTGGCACTCTGAACCTCCAGAGAGGAACCTTAGTTATTCACTATAGCATGCGTATTTACCATCCCTGTTGGTTCTCGCTGCCATCCAAAAAAAGGACACCACGCACACACACACACACACACACACGCCCACTTGTCAACTGCACCACCTCACTCACCCACAGTGATGGGCCCCTCAAGTTAACATAGGTTATAAGTTTACTAACATATGTTATAAGCTAGTGTAACCTATGTTATAACATGCCTTAACTTGGCTAACTTCTGATAGGTCCTTATAGAGTTATAACTAAGATATAAATATTTATGGAACTTGTAAGTTAGTTAGCCTGGTATGGCCCCAGAACTTACAAACAAGTTACAGAACTTACAAAATTTGTTATTGTTTTTAAAGGTTTTAAGAAACCATTGAACACATTTGGAAAAATCAATGTTTTTTAGTTTTCGATCAGTTTTTTAGACAAAAATCATTTGGATTTTAGTTAATCGACTCCAGGCTGGTAGTGCGTATTACATGTTCAAACGCTGTATTGCGCATTGCTATTTACACACATCATGGCATTGCCCTTTTGCAGTATCATATACTGGTTATACGTGTAACAGTTTTCATGTTTCCTTTCGGTTGCTGTTTGCGCATTGTGGATGTGTTCCCTGAATCAGTCGCAGTTGTGGCGGTGGTCCCGCTGCACATATTCCTGCTCCGTTCGTTTTCGCTCGCGGGGTCTTCGTGGATGCTCAATGTATATAGGTTTGATTTTCGCGCCGGTACTTTGCCGCGAAGTAAGTAACATGGCGGGCGCTACTGATGCCAACAAAGGTCCCCCCCACCAGCACGCAAAGAGTGGGCGCCTGGCAATGCAGGATTGGTGCTCCTTCCCGCTTTACATCAACAAGAACACGTGGACGTCAGTTTTGGAGGCTCCTGGGTCCCTGGTTGCCTTAGATGTGGTGCTTCGCCACCTTGTGCAATTGGGCTTGCGAAGTCCATCAGAGCAAACTCAGGCCATGCTGGCCGCACTTTGTGTTCTGCGGGATTTGAGGGATGACTCAAGCAGTTCCAAGCAAATCCCCGATGCGATGAAGCTCAGATCCATCTTCCTGAACGTGAAAGCTCGGGTCCATACATCTATGTTCAAAGCGAAACAGGATGGCGATCAGATGTTGCCTCATGGACACCTAGTTGCACTACCTGCAAATCCAAAGGACGCGCCAGCTGGACTTCTCTCGCTGGCCTTTCCAGACGGCTACGAGAGCGAGTCAGACTCAGCGCCGTTCTCTCTCATGGACCTTGCCAACGTTGCCAGGGAGATCTCTCTACGCTCGACCAACAGCAAGGTGGTGAATAACAAGGGTCCTCAACTGCATTCCCCGGAGGCGTTCTGGGCATCTATGCAGTCTGCGTGGATGATGATGATGCAGCAGTGGGGCAAGCCACCTTCAGAGGAGTGCAGGCTGACCATGACTAGGCAACCAGGTAAAGCTTTGGGCGCCTTGCTTGACAGAGCTGAGGGCAAGGGTACTACTCAGCAACCCCAGCTTGCTCTTCCAGCACCACCATTGCCAGCAAGCAAGGACGTGTTGCCAGAGAAGCCGCCTGCGTCAGCAGATCCACCCCTCCCTTGTCCTGCGCTTTGTGACCGACCGTCTTCGCAGCCTTTAGAGAGCGTGCCAACCTTGGAAGCCTTGCCTTCGAAGCCTTCTTGCGCGCCGGAGGGCTTGCCAACCTCGCAGGTGCAGGACGAGAAGGTGAATGACATGGCTCCACACAATCGTGGCATCTCTCTTGCTGAGAGCGTGGAAAAAATGAAGGAAGCAAGGGTGAAGTTGAAGGAAGGCTCAAACCAGTCACATGGTCCTGTGATGAAGAAGCCAGCCAAAGGACCTTCCAACCCCAAGTCCAAGTCTTTGGGCAGCCTGGCTTCCAAGTGTGCCACGCAGCCACCAAAAAAGCCGAAGCAAGGCTTTGGACAGGGAGTCATGAAGAGACCGAGCGTCGCAAAGGCTGCTTCCAACCACAAGGCCAAGAATGACGAGAGGAAAAGGCTGAGGGAAGAGATCATTGCCAAGCTGGACGTGCCCACCAGGAAGAAGTTCAAGGACGGGTGTGCAAAGTGCCGCTGGCGCAAACTATGCACTTTGTCTTGTTGGCAGTACCGTGGGTACTGATCTAGTCTTGGATTTTGGATCTTATTGCCTAAGCTGGGCCCTGGCAATGGATCCCGGGTGAAACCATCCGTAGAATGTCGCCAAGAAAAGTCATCGCGGCACAGAATCGACTATGCTTGTGGAGGAGTCATTGTTTCGTGATTTCAACTCTTGATCGGTTCGTTCAAGCCCCATAAGATATAAACAGAACTGGTAAAACCCATATAGATGCGGTCGCCCGCACCTAGCAAAGGTTGCCACAAGTTGAAAGAGCTTATATATATATAGTTCATAGACGCGGTCGCCCGCGCCCCAAACCTTTTTTTGTGGGACCACTTAATTTCATATATATAGCTGGTTCCAAGTAGGGTGGAAATCGGCGTGGACAGCTAGCTGTTTGAATCCAGTTTTTTTGCACCGCTTGTGAATCCCAAGTTGCGCTCACTGTACCTACGTTTTTGGGCGCGCTCGTGGAAGCTGGGCGCTATCAAGCCATGGAGACCTGCGCAAACATGACCCTCGACGAATACACATTGATGTGCCGTGATGCTGGGATGAGGGTGTCTGGGTGAGAAATCGAAACTTTCCAAACACTTTTGGATGGGCGGAGATGGGTCTTTGCGGTTCAGAAGTATAGCTCACCTTCCTTTATATGTATGCTCTGTTGTGACCCCCGAAAGGAATAATGTGCATCACATAATCAATTAAGGAATCTGTCATGGACGACGATGCTCCCACGTCAGTAGCGCTCTCCGATGAAGAGGACGCAATGTCGCCAGCATCCCTTTCAGAAGTGAACCCTTTGGAGGCTATGCTGGGAGACGATTGGCATGGGCGAATTCAGAAGGACCTTGAGCTGAAGGCCCAAAGCCAGAAGGATGTTGAGCTGAAGGCCCAAAGCCAGAAGGATGTTGAGCTGAAGGCCCAAAGCAAGGAGAACGATGCTGAGCTGAAGGCTCAAAGCAATGAGCAGGTTGTTGATCAGAACGCCCAAAGCAAGGTAACGCCACCATGGAGGTCAATGACAAGCGAAGTGCCCTCTCAAGCTGATGTTTGCGAAGTGCCGCCATGGGGCCAAGCGAGACGGCGCGCCAAAAGGGCTAGAGAGCAGGATGAGCCAGCTGAGGAGCAGGCGCCCTTCACCAAGGAAGTTGAGGAACCAGCTGAGGAGCAGGCGCCTGAGCCGAAGCAGGAAGTGGAGGAGCAACGTGTCCCTGCCGGCGCTGCTCTCCTAGGCTTGTGGCCAAAGCGGATGGCAAAGCCGTCAAGACCTGCAAAGATGGATGTGGATGGCCACACAGGGTTGCATGCTAAAAGCATGGCAAGGCCAAAGGAGCAAATCGTCCATGATGATCAGCTGGCCAACTTTCGAGAGGACATGAAGCAGCTGGCCGAAGAGCTCGGCTGGTCTAGGAGGGCTCTAGAGCAGTTCTGCGGAATGGAGAAACGCAAACGCGGCAAGAATTCCCGACCATGGCAACAGTGTGACTGAGAAAAAGCGTGTAGCCAGTCATTGCACTTGCTGCGGTAGCCCGCAGAGCTGTTTCAGTTTAAGATACTCCATAATAGAGGTTCATATATAAAGCCCTCCAACACAGAGTCCATTCTAGTAATTAATTAAGATTCTTTCAGAGACGCATCTCTGTTTGTCATCAAGAGTGTAACTCTGTTAGCTTCAATGCTGGGTTTTTCAGCTTTGTCATCAAGATGGTAACTCCTTTTTATCTTCTGCAAATAGTTTCAGCTGGTTGTATGTTTTGGTCACTTCGTCTGTGCTGTGCTCGCTCCAGGGCAAACCGCTGACAGTTTGTTGAGGCCCCACGGCGTCGCCGTTTTGCTGGCGCCATGTACCGCTATGGCCGTGTGGCGCCGCAAGATTGGCAAAATTTCCCAGAAGCCACCTTCGAGGACGGAAATATGTGTGATTGGATTGGCCCCTTACCCAAAGGTCAGGTGCTCCGCCTTCGATTCGGGGCAAAAACGATGCTTGGACATGTGCTTGTGTGTTTTGCTTTGGTTGGTGTGGGCTGTTGTAGGCTGGAGCCAAGTATACGTTTTGTCATTGCACCAGGGTCACCTGCAATGCTTTTGTTGTCATCATCCCTAATAGTGTATACATGCAAGTGTCCATTGTTTCCAAGGTGGCCTGAGAGGCTGTTTGTTGGTACAACAGCGGGCTTCCCAGGCCACCTTCTGAAATGGTCGATTTTAATCCAAGGATCCATTTGAACTTGCAGTCTCTTGGTGGATCTTCTTCTCCAGCACACCTGGTGGTGAACCACTACCAGAAGCACCGGGTCTTTGTGACCAAGGGTGGCGCTACTATCCTTGTCTCACTGCCACCTGAGAACTATGGTTTTCACGATCAGGTGATTCAGAGGGTTCTGATCCTGAGGAAAGTCGAGAATGAGCTCGAGGTTGACACTATGACTGGGGAAGTGCTCGGGCGCTGCGCTTTCGATTTCTCCAGCTCAATGATGGACGCAATTACATCAGCCACTAGATTACATGATTTGACGTGTCCTCAACATGATCAGAGACTCTTACGTTTCTGTGTCGGTGAGACATTTGTTGGGTGCAACTCATGGCGCACCCGTTCGGATTCCTTCTTCAATCAACCCCAGGAGCTTACCAGGGTCAATGACATGTTGGCCACACAGAAGGAGCGCAGCAAAAGCCTCAAAGAGCAAGAGAAAAGACTTGATGAGCAAGAGAAGTTGGTCCAGGCCCAGGAGTTGGAAAATAAAGGGAGCAGGCAATGCCAGGTGGCTGTGATGAAGAAGTTGCCAAGTGCGGCATCGACACCGAGAAAGAAACCATCGAGTG